TTCTCTCTTCATATAGCCGTAAGCCTATTACATATCCCATAAAACACTGTGATATAACCGCGCTCGGATCGGATCGCTTTCTCACTGCAATCGAACCGCTCCAGGGTTCGTTTCAATCGAGCCGAGACCACCTCATTCAAGCGATCTCGGAGCGATTACTTTGGCGTGGAACAGAGCGCGATTGCCCTGTTCACATATGCCAAACGAACCGCGCTAACTGGGCAAACGAGATACGTTCCGAAACAAAAGTGTAGGTGTGAAAGCACCCTTAAAAGAATCTTCTTTTGTGTTCCACAGATGAAAGAAACTTAGGTTTGGAACAAGTAAAGGGAGAGTAAATGATGACATAGTATTACTTTTCGGGTGAAGTAGCCCTTTAAGTATTTTTGTGATGGGATTTGTACTTTGCTCCCTATTCAAACTTACTACTTGAGAACATGTCTGAAGAAAAAACTGCACCTTTTACAGATGATTAATTAAACAAAAAAAGTACTAGTTACATTATTACATCTCACACACACACACATAATAATAATAATAATATTGCTAATAATATTGATAATGGTGATGGCAGTATTAGCAGCACACCCTCATATGTGCTTCAGTAATCATCACTGTTCTGAGATCAGCTGTCAGTCCAGACTGAGTCTTATTCAGTTCACCCCAGTGTGAATCTGCTGATCTGAAGACACTCTGAAAACTGACATGACAACACACACACACACACACGCACGCACACACACTTGCATACACACACACATCAGCACACTCACATACAAAACACACACACACACACACACACACACACAAGTCTGCACACACACAATCTCTCTCTCTCTCTCTGACATACACACACTCGCACTTACCGAGTATCAGGCAGAGTTGTGTGAGTGTGATGATGATGCTGTTCTCCATGATGAAGAGTGTGTGTGCGTGTGTGTGTGCAGGATCAGCTCGGAGCTCCGCGCGCTTTCATCGCGTGTGTGTCCGGTAAACGCACCGATCCGCCACACCGGGAGAACAGCGGATCCTGCGGGAGGAGATCTTCATCCCAGAAACACCATCATCTTCATCATCTTCACCATCATCATCATCATCACTGTCACGAGTCCGGCAGAGGAGAAGAAGAAGAGCTGCGGAGCTCAGACCGAGAGCGAGAGGAGTGTGTGTGTGTGTGAGAGAGTGTGTGTTTATGTGAGTGAGAGAGAGACAGAGGGAGAGAGAGAGAGGGGTGTGCGTGCGTGTGTGTGTGTGTGTGCGTGTGTGTGTGTGTGTGTGCGTGTGTGTGTGTGCGTGTGTGTGTGTGTGTGTGTGTGTGTGTGTGTGTGTGTGTGTGTGTGTGTGTGTGTGTGTGTGTGTGTGTTTGAGTGTGTTTATGTTTGTGTGTGTGTTTGTGTTTGTGTGTGTGTGTGTGTGTGTGTGTGTGTGTGTGTGAGAGAGAGAGAGAGAGAGAGAGT